GCGGAGGGGGGTAATTGGGGCACCCTTCAGTTTGCAGCCGAAGGAGTCGGCGCCGGCAAAGATGCGCAGGGATGCCGCCTCCACAGTAGTGGGAGTGGCACTGGGGTTGCTATCGGTAGCCATGATCTGATCTCTTACCTCGATATTGCTCTCAGCTCACATTGGAGTGAAGGCTGGGGGACGAATAAAAAGGACGGAGAACTGGAAAATGCCAGAAAACATCTCATTTACTTCTATGTGGAGCTGCATATTAAAATCGCTGAGTGTTGGATAAAAGAACTCATTTATATCTATTTTATTAACTCAGAAGAAGAAATTTTAACACTTATATTATATAAATACTTGATTATAAATGAACCAAAAGTTAGCGCTTGATCATTCTAATAATTGAAGAAGAAAATATCAACATCTGCAATATTCATGAACGATGGCAAGTGGAATAGAGAAAATAGAATCAAATTTAAGTTCTTATTCCTGAATTTGTCTTGCTTTCTTCTCTCTTCTCTCCTTGTTTCCTTAGTCTCCTCCCATTTAATGACTCTAAAAAATCTCACTTAATTATATTTCTTCCAGTTATCTCATTCTAAATACTCTTTCGACCATCTAAGAACTGGTTGAAACTAAAATATTCATCTTTGTGGCGCCTTAGCACCAAGCTCTTCACCTTTGTAGCATTTTTCTCTAATGTGCAATGCCACAATGCTCAAGATTAGCATCACAGTGTTGCTTTTTCGGTTGAAATTTAAATGTGAGTCCTTGATAGTAAATGACTAGCATTCTACTCTAGATTAAAATATAAAATTTGCTTATTTTGCTCATAACTTCATTTCTTTAGTTTTTAAGTTCATTGTTGTTCTCACTTGTTCCATTGTTTTTCGCTTCTACAAATTTCACAAATTTTTTCCCGTTGAATTTATTCATTTTTTCATGAAATAAATTAAAATAAGAAGGTATAAGAAAATAAACTCATTGAAGATTGGTAGATAACTAGGTGCGGATATAAAGTACAGTCATTATACATAAAAATTATTTATTAATCTTATGATTCATTGCGTTTGTGTCTTCTGTTGGTGATTAAGAAAATTAGGCCGATTCTTGCAAAAAATAAATTTCATCAAAAGATTTCTTATGTAGAGGATTATGTGTCGAGAAAATATTAGGTGCATGTAATGCATTTATGGGCAGTGAATAATAGACATGAGAGTGTAGGGAGAGTATGCATACAAGCTTGCTCGTTTGTTATTTGTTGTTCATAGGCGCGTTGCACACACCTAATATTTTCTTTTTTCTTTGTTTTTTTTTTGCCCACATTGGTTTGCTTGTTTTCCGTCTAATTTAATATAATAAAATCTTCACTCTATATTGGGATAAATTTTAGCATTAATCTAGAATATTCTTTTTTAAAGGACATGATCAAACTTATTCCCAAACATTTTATCTTATTAACAAAAATAAGGTTTGACTTGAGATTGGTAAGCTTAAAGAAAAATATTTGTCATTCATATCCCAATCCTATCTCATTTTAAGGTATTTTGGCTTGAAAAGTTTAAGTTTGTCAACAGTAGGCACTCAAAAATTTGAGCCTGATGCAATGCTTCTTAATTGCATAAGAGATGAGCCTTATATAACTAAGGAGGTATGGGATTATTCATGCATAAAGAGCAACCTTATATAAATAAGGGGTACCCATGGGATAAAAATTTAAAAATAAAAATGAAAAAGGGCATTAATGGATTGTTTTCTTCCATCAAATAAATGCAGGCGAGTTGTTTCATAGAGTAAAATCATGAATTTTTTTCTTGGTTTTATTTAACATACTACTCTATGCATGTGTGTTAAAACATGCATGCAAGTTCTTAGAAAGGAAGATTTACCCTCATACCACTTACTTCTTATGTTTTTACATATCTAGCACCTAAACTTCAGTTTTTACATATTTGATTTGGAGATTTTATAATTCCACTAATTTCTTCTTTATTTGGTGTCTCTAAAATTACAGATCCTTCTGGAAATGTGCTCCTTCAATGTTTTAGCCCTATAAAAGTCATGGAATTAATTATCTAGATAAGAATGAAGTTTACTTTCAATGTTTGTATCAATAGTTTTCTCTTACTTCACTATGATCCTTGGAATTCAAGTAAATCTATCTATAAGGCTCTTATTTCCTTAGACTTCAACATGATTGGAAAGCCTATTATTGCTATAATTAGCATTATTCTGATTCTTGATTCCCAAAATCTACATTATTGTGCTTTTTCACCATTGATTCATCTTTAACTTTACTATTACCGTTTCGAGCAAGAAGTCTACTTGGTTTGGAAAAGATTGTTTCTGCTACAAAGCAATTCACTCTTCTCAGGTTTACTATATGCCAAATAAGGACCGAGTAATGCTAATTTGGGACTTCAGATAAAGCTCTTGCTAGTACCCTAATAATAAGGTTCTCATCTTTGAAGCTGGCTGGATTAAAAGGTGTGAAGGAACACATTATGCAAATGTGGGATATTGTAAATCAATTAAAGACTCTTTAGGTTTATATGTCAGTCCTTTTTAGCACACTATATTTTGAACACCCTTCCTAGTAATAAGTTCCTTTCAAGATATCTTATAACATATAAAATAAATGATCAACTAATGAACTTATGTACATGTGTGCTCTAGTAGAAGGAAGGTTGGTTATGAAATGAAATGATATCTACACACAAAAAGGACTAGAGCCAAAGAAAAATGAAGAAAAAAGTGAAGGATAATGTACTACTCCATTTTGAAATAAAAAGGGAATCTAAATGTTTCTTATGTAAAAAAAAGTAAATGAAGAAGGATTGCATTAAATTCAAGGATTGGCTTGACATAAAATGTTAAATATTCTCACTTGTTTGTTATGAATCTAATATGGCTAATATCATTTAAAAAAATTGTGAATTGATTTTGGTTCATCAATTCACATTTGTAATACCTTACAACATATGAAAAGCCTAAAGAAGCTAATAGGAAGTGAGCAACACATCTATTTTGGGAAGCAGATGCACTCACATATAGAAGCTATATGAACATGTTATTTAGTAGTTAGTAGTGGTTTTACTTTGCAACTAGAAAAGACTTTATGTACCTAACATATTAAAAACTTAATTTCAGTTTCAGGACTTTTAAATTTTTGTTATTTCCTTAACTTCTTAGAATTTCTATTTTTTTGTATTACAAATATGAATTTATTGGGAATGGTATATTATCTGATGGAAATTTGTATATTAATTTGCAAAATTCTTCTACCCATGATGTGATGCAATCTAACATTAAAAATTTGTTACAAACAAAAATTTCTCTACGTTGGGCACCAAAGATTAGGTCATATCTCCAAAGATAGAATTAAAAGATTAATGAATGAAGGGATACTTTATATATTGAATTTCACTGATTTTGTTACTTCTGTAAGTTGCATAAAGGTTAAACAAACTAACAAGTCAAAGAAAAATGCAAAGAGGAGTACATACATATTGAAAATCATACAAATAGATATTTGTTATTTGGATATGAAATTTTATGATCTTAGAGATAGATTTCAAGACCATTTTGATTTACCCCATAAGACTTATATCATTAAGACTTTGGAGAAATTTAGAATGAAAGAAAATTTTCCAGACATAGCTCTTATTATAATGGTTGACAATTCTAGTTTAAGTTAGTGCCTAGAAAATGATTTTTAAAGGGAGGAAATGAAAAATTTTACATATCTTCAGCTATCAAAAATTTAGTTTATGCTTAAATTTGCATGATACCAGACATAGTCATTGCAATTGAAATGTTAGGAAGATATTAAAGTAATCCATGTATATATCACTGACAAGCTATAAAAAAGATGATGAAGTATGTTCAAGGGACTAAAGAGTGCATGCTTACATATAGAAGAGTTGATAGTTTGAAGAAGACAGGGTATTCTGATTCTAACTTGGTAAGCTTTGTTGATTCTCAAAAATTAACATATGGATTAATCTTAATATTTATTGGTGGAACAATCTATTGGAGGAGATTAAAGAAGATTTTAGGTATTACTTCCATTATGGTGGTCAAGTTTGTGTCTTGTTTTGAGGCTACATCACATGATGTATGGTTGAAGAATTTTATTTCTAGGCCTAGACTTTTAGATTCAATATCTTGGTCATTAATGATTTATTGCGACAATTCAACTGTAGTGTTTTTTTTTTTAAGAATAGTACCAGAGATAGTCAAAGTAAACATATTGAGAAAAATTTTTACTAATAAGGAATCATTATTGATTTATTTTTGAATATACTAGACAATTCTTGAATATTTATTTATTGAAATAGTTAAAGAAGGCATCAAAAGTAATATACTATCTCAAAAGGTAAAAACACTACTTTAAAATGGATTCATTTATTTTAAAAAAAAAATTTAGTTTTGATGAGTCGTGTTTAAACCAACAAATCCTTTCTTTACCTAACTAAAAGGTTAGATATGATTTAGATTAATCTCATTTACTAACTTTTTATAAGGGTAAGGATCTATATTTAATAGGTAATTGCATCTTAGGAAGAAAAAAATTTTTAGAAAACTCTTGATTATGGCTGGGGTTATATCTTCAAGAATTTCAAAGTTCCGAAGGCACACTTGGTGCATTCTGATTTGTTGCGCTTTACACCTCAGTGTGCCATGCGTCCCATTGTTCATGAACATATCTCCCATCCGACTTCTCCTCCGTCGTTGGATCAATACACGTGCGAATGGACGACATCCGTTCATCTTCCCCAAGTGTACTAAACCAAGAATCGTACATACTAAAACCCTAAAATCTTGCTTGATACTAAACCAAATCACATGGGATTTGTTCCTACAGCTTCATCTACTCAAAGAGAACCCATCTATACGGTTACATGCCTATGAAATGAAACTTCTCTTCACAATTAGTGAAATCAAGATCAAATTTAGGGATTTTGAAATATACCTTTGCTCAAGAGGTGAGGCCTCAATTGGGTGCTTGTAGAAGCTTCCTTGTAGTCCAACAAACCTCCTCAATGTGTCACCTTGCTCTAGTATGGGTTCTAAGTAGGATTTTAATTAAAAGGTGGTGCGGCCTTGGTCTAAAGGTGGGTATTAGTGCACGGGAG